ACAGATAAATAGTTATATAGATAATTTTGGATGGTAATTTTTTTGGCGTTAACATTAATGTCTTCATGGACGTCTCTCACAACAGAGGTGATCATGAGTTTATGAAAAGTCTGCTCTCTCTCTCTCTCTCTCCCTCAATATCTCACCTTACTACCCTCTCTCATTCCTTCCCTCCCTCCCTCACTCTCTCTCCCTCGTTATCTCTGCTTCCTTTACTATCTCACTCTCCCTCTCCTTCCTTCCCATTCTCTCACTCTCCCTCCTCCTCTCTCTCTCTCACGTACACAAACAAACATCACTCTATCCTCTCCTGGGATTCGTAGGCAATATATCTCTCTAAATTTCTTTTTCTCGTTCTTCAATCTTTTCCATTTTTCTAGACGGAATTTTAGGCTCAATACACTTGAAATTCAGAACGGGGACTCTCTTTCTAGCGAACACTTCGATAAGGGGATTGAACGGAAAACGATTCACTGGGCAACAGGATCTGCAAAAATGGTTCAGAATGTGGAATGAATGTAAGGTTCGAACAGTCCAGAAGCCAACGAAAAATTTGCATACAACTGTTCACACTCAAGCCCCCAGTCACGGGAAAAATGTAAACACTCTGGTATTATTATTGTTATTATTGTTATTATTATTATTATTATTATTATTATTATTATTATTAGTAGTAGTAGTAGTAGTAGTAGTAGTAGTAGTAGTAGTAGTAATGATAAATAAGGTTAAATAATAAATGAGATAAAAGGTAGATAATAATTAGTTTAATGTGATGGAAAGATGGGGAAAATTGATAAATTGAATGAAATGTAAAATATACAGAAAGGAAAACAAAAAATAGTCAATATTTAATCTTATGGTGTGACGAAAAGATGAAAAAAAATCAGTAAGTCAAATGATAAGAACGATGTAAGAAAGTGGCAATAAAACAGTTCAAAATTAATATCGCGTTGTGTCATAAACAACAACAGCAAATTAAATATTATTAAATGAAACGATAAAAAACACAATCGATAAACAGAACAAGAGTGGAATAAAATAATGTTAATGAATTGATAAACAAAGATAATGATTGAAAAAAAAAGAAATGAATGGGTGAGAGCCAAGAATGGATACTTTTCATTGTGTTTTGTCGTCTCTTCATTTATGCACAGTAATAAACAAAGGCGTAAAGAGCATATTCAAATTCAATTAGTTCCTATTTCTTTGTTCTTTCTCATGTCTGTTTATCTCTTGCTTTCTTTCTACTGGGGAATCTTTACGAAGGAGGAGAATAAAAACACAATAAAAGTCAACAATAAAAGAACTGTGACATAACTGTTGTGAGGAGGAAGTATAAGTTTGTGTTTCAGGAAGACTTGGGAAATAAAACACCCCAAAACAAAAGTGACTTACGAGAATAATCCACAAGTTCTCGTAAATAAGACTTGAGATTCACAAAGGTTCAGTCGCATTACTAGTGTTAAGTGAAGGTGTTTGCTTAAGGTAATGACTTGGGGGGGGGTAATTAAGTTCCAATCATGTGCTAAGGGAACGTGTTTGGTCAAGGTAAAGTGTTAGTGTAATTCTGATGAGACTTTGGACGTTATTGTGTTTTATGACAGCCAATTACGAAGAAAAAAATCAAAGGCCAAGCTGCTGAGAATCATAGTTCAGCTATAAAGACAAGAGAGGAAAATTTTACACCTCAATTTTTCAGTGTAATCAGCCTCCCTCAACCTCGCTCATCCCTCACTTGCCCAATTTTGTTCCTCACACCAGCAGAGTGTTCATAATAGACGCCTTTTGTCAGCTCTCATAACCACCCATCACCGCTGGCCTACAGGTAATCATCCCTTTGATACCATTCACCTGGCAGGGCAGATTACACGTGCTGGAAGATACAGCCACTCTAGGGGGGGCGGATGGGGAGCAGGTCTTGGCTCTGTACTTGTGATTGACGACCTGTGAACCTCTGTCCTAGTGAATTGATTAAATGTACTGGAGCGACACAACACCACGAGTCAATATCCCGCCAGCGGTGTGTGTGTTTCTTGGTGGCATTGCGCAAGAGGACCAGAAAGCCAGCATGATATTAAGAGTAAAGTTCGTTTTGAGTCTCAGAAGATGTTTGACCTTTCTTGTTACATCTAAGAATTGTTTGGGGGTAAAGTTGTCGAACACTTCAGTTGCAATGATTCAGTCTTGGTCTCAGTGGTGGAGCAGCAGTAACACACGTCCACCTGGGTCAGTAGTGAAGAGGTTCCAGAAATTCTCTCTTGAACTAAACTCTTGTCGTGATCTTACAAACTGCGGGTCTCGTGATCTTACTGGCTGAAGGTCTCGTGATCTTACTACTTGAAGGTCTCGTGATCTTACTACTTGAAGGTCTCGTGATCTTACTACTTGAAGGTCTCGGGGACAGCCATAATATAAAAACTTTACACATAACAAAACGTTCATGGATATTGGTGTCAATACTTTTGCCGGTATTATACAAGTCTTTTGCAAATTGTGTTATCCTGATTCAGCCAACAGACGATATCATGTTTCCTCCTGTAGAAGTTGTTGCTGGATAAAGGTCTTGTCTGAAGGTCATGTAGATAAGGGGGTTGTTCTTGATCAATTTTCTCTGCTAAGTTGAAGTTCCTCAGTGTTGAAGAATCTATTTCAGCTTTCCATTATGTACTAACTCGGCGTCCCATGGATTGACTTAGTCGTACATACATACATACATACATACATACATACATACATACATACATACATACATACATACATACATACATACATACATACATACATATATACATACATACATATATACATACATACATACAAACATACATACATACACCGTGAACTCCATCCTAAAGTTAGTCCACCGAGATAACAAGAAAAAAAATCAATAACAGACTGTAATTACTCAGTACAGGTTTCAATCGACCACATCAACCGGGAAAAAAGTCATAATATAAGTATGCCACCGGGAAAAAAACATAATTTAAGAAAGCCACCGGGAAAAAAGTCATAATATAAGGATGTCACCGGGAAAAAAATCATAATATAAGTATGCCACAGGGGAAAAAAGTTTGTGAAATCTTTCCTTCGTTGATTTAGAGAAAAAACTAAATTATAAAGAAAAAATGTATTTCCTATATACTTTCGCTAAAGAGAATCATGCAAAGAACTGCGACACAGAAATACGCAGCGAATATAAAATATTTGGGTGTGACAAAGACTTTCACACACACACACACACACACACACACACACACACACACACACACACACACACACACACACACACACATTGGAAAACTAATCGGGACAGTGACTGAGAGAAACGAGGCAGATATCTGAAATGGATCCTAACTGACTAACAAGGGGGAGGGGGGCATTTGGGAGCTGGAGAGAGAGAGAGAGAGAGAGAGAGAGAGAGAGAGAGAGAGAGAGAGTCATATTTTCAACAAACAAGAACAATAAGACAGTATGAAACAGTGAACTAGCTCATTTATTGAACGAGGAAGAGGGAGCATCAAAAGCGAATTATAATAAAAAACAAAACCTGAGTGAAGCAGATTGTCTGTGTGTCTGTGTATGTCTTTGTCTGAGTGTGTCTGTGTGTGTCTGAGTGTTTCCGAGTGTCTCTGCGTCGTATGTGTCTCTGTGACTGTGTGTCTGTTTCGTGTGTGCCTGTTTCGTGTGTGTCTCTGTCATTATGTGTCTCTGTGACTGTGTGTCTCTGTGTCGTGTGTGTGTCTCTGTGTCGTGTGTGTGTCTCTGTGTCGTGTGTATCTCTGTGACTGTGTGTCTCTGTGTCGTGTGTGTGTCTCTGTGTCGTAAGTGTCTCTGTGACTGTCTCTCTGTGTCGTGTGAGTGTGTGTCTGTGTGTCTCTGTATCGTTTGTGTGTCTCTGTGTCGTGTGTATCTCTGTGACTGTGTGTCTCTGTGTCGTGTGTGTGTCTCTGTGTCGTAAGTGTCTCTGTGACTGTCTCTCTGTGTCGTGTGAGTGTGTGTCTGTGTGTCTCTGTATCGTTTGTGTGTCTCTGTGTCGTGTGTATCTCTGTGACTGTGTCTCTCTGTGTCGTGTGAGTGTGTGTCTGTGTCGTGTATGTCTCTGTGTCGTGTGTGTGTCTCTGTGTCGTGTGTGTCTCTGTGTCTCGTGTCTCTGTGTCGTGTGTGTCTCTGTGTCGTGTGTGTCTCTGTGTCGTGTGTGTGTGTCTCTGTGTGTATGTCTCTCTGTGTCGTGTGTGTCTCTGTGTCTGTGCAAATCAGCAGGAATATTGGCGAGTCTGACAAGTGTGCTGATTGTCATTGTTCACCTCTTCTGGGGTGAGGCAGCAGCAGTAGTGGGAACAGGTCTGCAGAGGCAGGTGGGAGGCTGGCAAGCAGGGGGCAAGCAGGGCAGGGTTGGGGGGTTACAGGTGCAGGGGCAGAGCAGGCAGCAGCAACAGTGGGGCAGGAGCAGCAGGGTGGCAGGTGCAAGGGGGGCAGAGAGCAGGAGGCAAGTGCAGGGGGGCAGAAGTAGGGGCAGAAGGAGACAGAAGTAGGGGCAGGAGCAGGGGTGAGGGGCAGGAATGAGAGGGAAGCAGGGCTGGTGGAAGCAGCAGGGGGAGGGCAGCAGCATGGGACAGAAGATGTGAAAAACGGGCAAAGGGGGATGGGCGGCAGGCAGGGAACCCAGAGTTGAGACAGGCAGGGGCAGAGTAGGGGCAGGTGGGGCAGAGTAGAGGCGGAGTGGGAGACAGAGTAGAGGCAGGCAGGGGTAAGAGTTGGGGTAGGCAGGGGTAAGAGTTGAGGCAGGCAGGGGCAAAGGTAGAAACAGGCAGGGGTATGAGTAGAGGCAAGGCAGGGGCAAGAGTAGAAGTATGTAGGGGCATGAATTGAGACAGACAAGCAGGGGCAAGACAAAAACAAGTATCTGTTTTCTTATTTTAGAACATAAATAAAAAAAAAATAAATAAAAAGTTCAACTGTTGTCTTCTTTCTCTCTATCTCTCTCTGTCTCTCTCTCACAGACACAACGACTTACCGTGGAACATCAGAAGTTTCATACACAACCAGCTGGAAAAACTTAAGCTGAACGAAAGCTTGAAGAACGTGGAACCGTGGTCTGTCAGTAACTGGTCTCACACCGACATCCCCAGACTCATAGAAGGACGAGTAGGTGGACAGGTACGTGTGATTAATTAATTAGTTTTAGTCTATACCTGTGAGGGATACAATCTCTCTCTCTCTCTCTCTCTCTCTCTCTCTCTCTCTCTCTCTTTATTGTTTAGCTTGTTATGATCTTTCTCTTTTTCCTTCGCATATTTTGTGGCTTGGATATTTCACACACACACACACACACACACACACACACACACACACACACACACACACACACACACACACACTAAATATTGGCCGGGAACACAGGCTCACCAGATATTAAATGTTGAACACAGTGCAGCCTCTCGCTATATTACATCCACTAGCATAATGTTACGATTAATCTGACAAAATGAGACCATTATTTTTTTCTACACCAAACGTTCCCCCCAAATTTAAAACATTCCAATAGTCAGTTCATTTTTTTCTGTCCACATTTCTAAAATTGCTGGTTTGACATAATTTTATTCAGGTTAAAAATTGTTCATATTTTTATTACGTGTTTCGCAAAATGTAAGTATAAAAATTTTTTGGATATACATTTACAAATTTACTTAAATCTATTAAAAAAAATGGATAAATAATTGTGGTGTAAAAAAACAAAAACAAACCGTGATTAACATATAATTACTGTAATTTTTTTAGACCATTATTATAGTTTCTGCATTACTTATATCCTATAAACTCCACGTATCAAAAAGTACACCAGCAGTTTTTAATTAACTCAGATCCCATAAAATCTGATTAGACCATCAATGTTTTGTTCTGAATACAAAAGCTGCATTAATAAAGTTCTTAATATATAAAAAAGGCCTTTTTCTCAAAAATTTTTCTATATAATACCAAAACACACACACACACACACACACACACACACACACACACACACACACACACACACACACACGCACGCACACACACACACACACACACCCACTCACTAATCCAACAAATGAATTTTCCTTTTTGAGCGGATACAGCGTCTACTTCACAGTCGTACTAGAAGCCCATTACCCAGATATCAGTGTCGTGGTCAGTATGGAGTGTAAATTAAACTGGTGGTAGAGGCTGGACTTACTGAGTGATAGTCTCTATGTCTATATTGGTAGTGGATAAATAAACCACTCAGAGAGCTTAATTTATTGGCCAATCAGAGAACTTGATTTTACTGGCCACTCAGAGAACTTGATTTTACTGGCCACTCAGAGAGCTTAATTATTACTGGCCATTCAGGATGCTTGACTAACTGGATATTCTTTGTTACCTTCCTTCCTACCTCTCTCTCTCTCTCTCCTAATTGTTATGTCGATCACAGTGTTGTGTCGTAACGAGCACCTAGGCAGCCTCAGGTCCAGTTGTTGATTTTGGATTAAATTGGTTCAATCATTTGCTGGCGTGGATGATGAGAGATAGACCTCAGTTGAGTCCTCATTCTCTTCATGTCTCTCTGTCTGTCCCTCACGTCTCTCTCTGATACCGGGACGAGTTAGGCATCCTGATAACAGTGTCTCTCCGTGTCTCTCTCTATCTCTCTCTGTCCTTCTATTTTTCTTTATTATATATACTTTGATTTTATATTTATCTCTGCCTATTCGGTTCATTTCCTTAACATTTCATTTGCTCTGTTTTGTCTTTCTGTTTATCTGTCTGTCTGTCTGTCTGTCTGTCTGTCTGTCTGTGTCTGTCTGTCTGTCTGTCTGTCTGTGTCTGTCTGTGTCTGTCTGTCTGTCTGCTTTTGCTATCTCTATCCATCATTTTGTTTCCTCACCTTTTATAACAACTTTCAAATTCTTTACTCTCTCTCTCTCTCTCTCTCTTTCTCTCTCTCTCTCTCTCTCTCTCTCTCTCTCTCTCTTTCTTCTTATTTCCCACTATCATCATCTCTTTTATGTATCTTCTATGTATCCCCTGGTGGTCACAACCCCTCTGTGTATGACTATGTATATTTTCCTCCCTGTTTCCAACTATGTGTGTGAGTATACATGTATGAATGTATATCAGTTGAATAATCCAAGATGGTGAAAGAGGCATAATGTTTATACTCGGAAATTAAAGTCAGAGTAGAATAGTTAAGAAGATCAAAGGTTACTAAAGGCTTATAAGTATGTTGGGTATAGTTATGTTGGGTATAGTTATGTTGGGTATAGTTATGTTGGGTGTAGTATGTTGGGTATAGTTATGTTGGGTATAGTATGTTGGGTATAGTATGTTGGGTATAGTATGTTGGGTATAGTATGTTGGGTATAGTTATGTTGGGTATAGTATGTTGGGTATAGTTATGTTGGGTATAGTTATGTTGGGTATAGTTATGTTGGGTATAGTTATGTTGGGTGTAGTATGTTGGGTATAGTTATGTTGGGTATAGTATGTTGGGTATAGTATGTTGGGTATAGTATGTTGGGTATAGTATGTTGGGTATAGTATGTTGGGTATAGTATGTTGGGTATAGTATGTTGGGTATAGTATGTTGGGTATAGTATGTTGGGTATACTGTAGTATGTTGGGTATAGTATGTTTGGTGTAGTATGTTGGGTGTAGTATGTTGGGTGTAGTATATTTGGGTATAGTATGTTGGGTATAGTATGTTGGGTATAGTATTACTCTTGATCTTTATACACGAACTCTTTCATTCCCTTTCTCCTCCTTCCATCTTCCTTTTCCTTCCCCACAATTTATCTTCCTCCTCTTCCTTCCTTACAACTCCTCCTCCTCCTCCTTCTCCCACTCTTTCTCCTCTTCCGTTCCTAATTCCCTCCTTTTCTTCCCTACAATTCCTGCTCTCCAGCCTCCTCCCTACAACTCCTGGCCTCCTCCTCCTCCTCCAAGACCTCACCCTAATAGTCGTCTAGTTTTATGTATATTTGGGTTTCCATATTTACATTATAAAGTCAGGTCGTCTTCCTGGAACCTGAGCCGTTGCCATTATGAGAGAGACCATCAACAAGGAGGTACAATGAAAAGTTACAACTTGTTATAATGAAGATAGAACAACTCATGGCTCTTGTGATAATTACTGCAGGTGAGAGAGGTTGTTATGTAGGCCAGTTATGACTTACTAAGGAGAATATACGTGGTGTTGTGCTTGATGCTACTGAACCTCTCCCACACACCACTACACCTCCATCGACTAAGTACACGACCTGTGGTACACACTACAACAGTCATGAAAATATCATCCAGGCAGTTCCAGTCAGCCACGCTCTCAATTACCATATATCCAGTCCCTGTCCAGTCAGTCAATTACCTCCAGTTTTCAAGGCTGATCATTTAGCTAGTTGCCAGTTCAATTTTCTAAACAGCCCTGTCACTCAATCCAACTATTGAGTTCATCCCAGTCATCTAGGCAATTCCCAGTCATCCATTCCCCAATCATCCAGTAAGCTCTCAAACATCCAGTCAGCTCCCAGTCATCCAGTCTGTCCTCAGTCAGCCGAGCACCGCTAGAATCCTTCCACACGACTTGCTTTGTTTATTGGTTTTCAATTTTAATTTGCATATATTTTGTTTCTGTGTCTCTCAAGTCTCTCTGTGTTATGTCTCTCATAGGTTCTCTACCTCCTTCAGCTGTCTCTCAAGGGTTCTCAACCTCCCCCAGCTGTCTCTCAAGGGTTCTCTACCTCCCTCAGCTGTCTCTTAAGGGTTCTCTACCTCCCCCAGCTGTCTCTCATAGGTTCTCTACCTGCCCTTCCCTCAGCTCTCCGTATGTTCTCTCTCTCTCAAACTATCTTGCTTGTGCTTCAAAATTCAAGTCGCGTCAGAATATATGTCGCTCTTTGCCTGAATATGTGTGTGTGTGTGTGTGTGTGTGTGTGTGTGTGTGTGTGTGTGTTGCTCTTGTGTGTAATTGTCGTTTTTACCAGAATATATGTCGTTTTAGCTCAAAATAGCTCGTTTATATTAGTAAATTAATGTTGTAAATGAAAATGTCGTGTTGCCTTAAAATATATCATGTCTATAAAACTGTATATTTTATGCCAGGGATTCTATTTTGTGTACTGTTAAGACTTGTCGTTTTTGCTTCCTATTGTCGTTAATTCCTGTCTATCAATGTACCTTTATATACTTCGTTCCTGTATATCAATATCCTGATGTTTGAATCCATATATTTCCCCTAACAATATATAGCGTTTCTTCTTGATAATGCCTCACAAGTCGTCGTCTTCGTCTCCTTGAAAATATTATCAAATCCGCCCGTTGTTGCTGAATGAAAAGATGTCGTTTATATTTATGAAAAATAGTCTTCAAGTCTGTCTTAAACTGTGGCCTTACTGCCTGAAGCTATTGGTCGTTTGTTGTTAAAGAGGAAAATGAAAGAAAAATGAGAAGGAAAGATTCATGAAGACCTTGACATATTAACACCAGAGTAATAAATATAATTGTTATTACGGTAACACGCCTATAATTTCCAGAGTGTAATTAATTACTTTCGCTAATGATGATACACATGAGCCTACACACACACACACACACACACACACACACACACACACCTCCCCAGGCGCGGGTGAGTGACTGGCGGTAGTGACGTCATCACCAGTATTGGCTACATTGCTCCCGGGGCGAGGAATTCGGTTTCTTAATTAATATTTTCGGTCTGACTTGATTACTTCGATAATTACCTACAATTATTTTACTAATTAGCATAACTACTAGGGATACAAAACTCCCAGTTAATTTTATAGCTTCCGCGTTAATAGTTACTGTCATGGCTACACTATGGCTCCACCTGATTGGTTCTTGAAACGAGATAACAGCAGCTAATTGGTTCGCAAGACAAGATAAAAGGAAGAAGATTGGTCGGCCGTGAGTGACGTCATATGTTGATCAACTCCCCCATATATGACGTCAGATGTAAAAATAGAAACTAATACAAAGAAGCGATGATATAAAGTGACCGTCAGTAAAGAAATAAACTTAAGCACTGACGACGTTGACATACAAACTAGCTTTGATTTATATATTTATCCTAACGAATGTAGAATAACACTAATCTGACATTATATGGGTGTTTTAGTTTGTGAGTCTGTTGGTCCATGAGTCTGTGAGTCCGTGAGTCCGTGAGTCTGTTGGTCCGTGAGTCTGAGTCCGTGAGTCTGTGAGTCCGTGAGTCTGTGAGTCCGTGAGTCTGTTGGTCCGTGAGTCTGTGAATCCGTGAGTCTGTTGGTCCGTGAGTCTGAGTCCGTGAGTCTGTGAGTCCGTGGTCTGTGAGTCCGTGAGGTCTGTTGGTCCGTAAGTCTGCAGATCCGTGAGTCTGTTGGTCCGTGAGTCTGGGTCCGTGAGTCTGTGAGTCCGTGGAGTCTGTTGATTTTCAGCCAGGTCCGTGAGTCTGTTGGTCTGTAGTCTGGTCCGTGAGTCTGTAGATCATGGAATCTGTGAATCCGTGAGTCTGTTGGTCCGTAGTCTGTGAATCCGTGAGTCTGTTGGTCCGTGGAGTCTGGAGTCCGTGAGTCTGTGAGTCCGTGGTCTGTGAGTCCGTGGTCTCTGTTGGTCCGTGAGTCTGTGAATCCGTAACAGGTCTGTTGGTCCGTGAGTCTGTGAATCCGTGGAGTCTGTTGGTCCGTGAGTCACAGGTCCGTGAGTCTGTGAGTCCGTGAGTCTGTTGGTCCGTGAGTCTGTAGACCGTGAGCCTGTTGGTCCGTGAGTCTGAGTCCGTGAGTTTTGCAAGGAAGTCAGTTTCATCTCATGGTGGAAGAATTTCCTTTCAGTGAAGACTGGAGAGGATGCCAATACTTGGTCAGCTTCTGTTATTGGATTGAGAGAAGTGGGTAGAGAAAGAAAGGGCAGAAATTATACACACAAGCAGTCTACATAATGCAGAAAGAAAGATACCATCTAAAATGACTCTCTCTCTCTGCACACACACACACACACACACACACACACACACACACACACACACACACACACACACACACACACACACACACACACACACACTTTACATGATGCAGGGAGAGATACCATCTAAAACACGCACCTCACCACACCACGGCCTTTACAGTACCACAGTAAGCATGAAGATCTCTCTGCCACACAGTTTACCTCATGAATACAAATGTTAAGGACGACCTCTCATACTAAGAGAGTGAAACGTGCAGTGAATTAGAGAGAGAGAGAGAGAGAGAGAGAGAGGAACTTACGTCATTTGTGGTGATTTAAGAGAGTCTCAGAAATAAGTTAAGAGAGAGAAACATGGACTGAACAATGTCGTAAGTTATTTCTGGGTGATTCGGGAGTCACAGAGACGTGTCAGAAGAGTGGAAAGTGGGGGAAAAAACTCAAGTCATTTGGGGGGAATCAAGAATGGTGGGGACAGTAGCGTCTTGGGCCAGGTAATTGAATGGAAAATTAGTTCCTCAGGATTCTGTGATACGTGTGTGTGTGTGTGTGTGTGTGTGTGTGTGTGTACTGATCATAATTTTTAAGGGAAGTAAACATTGTCTTAATATGGGACAGGCAGACATTACTTGATACGGTCTTCAGGCATTTCTCTCCTGCTGCTTCAATTTTCCTTTATATAATTCTTTTTTTTTTGGGGTGAGGCCAAGGTGAGGGTGAGGAGCAGGGGTGAGGTGAGGAGCAGGGGGTGAGGGTGAGGGGGGTGTGGTGTGAGGGCAGGGGGAGGTGTGAGGGGGAGGGGTGAGGGTCTTTCACTTACACCGCTCCGTTCACCCTTCAGATTCAACTTTTTTTTTTCCAATTTTAGGGAAACAGACGTTTAGTATTGTTTCCTCCCCTCCACCTCTCTCTCTCTCTCTTTCTCTCTCTCTCTCTCCACACACACACACACACAAATCTATACATACAAACATATACACACTAATACGCACAATCCTACACCCCACACCCCACACACACATACGCACATTAGTAACCTCTCCACTCGCTATTAAAAACTGTTACAATATTCTAGTCCGGTATGTGTGAAATCAGACCAGACTATCAGTCGTGGGTTACAAATGACACGCTAATTAAACCTCCGCTGGAATGTATTGCGTGTTTTGTTTACAAGTTCATTACCAGATCATAGTTGAACTGGACACGTGTGCATGTTGCAGTTGTCGATAGTGTACATAATTATGTGCACATACATATGTACATATGTGTATACTGAATATCTGGTACAATATTGGTGCACACAAGTCCAGTACATCTATGATAAAGATACACTACTTCCAACCACCATTACTGCCTCATACTTCTGGGTGGTCACTAACCACCACCACTTCCTTCCCAACAGTTCTGGGTGGCCACTAACCACCACCACTTCCTCCCTCACAGTTCTGGGTGGTCACTAACCACCACCACTTCCTCCCCAACAGTTCTGGGTGGCCACTAACCACCACCACTTCCTCCCCACAGTTCTGGGTGGTCACTAACCACCACTTCTCCCCACAGTTCTGGGTGGTCACCAACCACCACCACTTCCTCCCAATGTTCTGGGTCACTAACCACCACCACTTCCTCCCCAACAGTTCTGGGTGGCCACTAACCACCACCACTTCCTCCCCACAGTTCTGGTGGTCACCAACCACCACCACTTCCTCCCTCAACAGTTCTGGGTGGTCACTAACCACCACCACTTCCTCCCAACAGTTCTGGGTGGTCACTAACCACCTCACCACTTCCTCCCTCAGTCCTGGGTGGTCACTAACCAACACCACCTGGTTCTGGGTGGTCACTAACCGCCACCACTTCCTCCCCAACAGTTCTGGGTGGTCACCAACCACCACCACTTCTCCCCACAGTTCTGGGTGGCCACCAACCATCACCACTTCCTCCCCAACAGTTCTGGGTGGTCACAACCACCACCACTTCCTCCCCCAGTTCTGGGTGGTCACTAACCACCACCACTTCTCCCTCATCACAGTTCTGGGTGGTCACTAACCACCACCACTTCCTCCCCAACAGTTCTAGGTGGCCACTAACCACCACCACTTCCTCCCCAACAGTTCTGGGTGGTCACAACTGCCACCACCACTTTCACAGTTCTGGGTGGCCACTTCAACCACCACTTTTCTCCCACAGTTCTGGGTGGCTACTAACCGCCACCACCACTTTTCCTCCCACAGTTCTGGGTGGCCACTAACCACCACCACTTCCTCTCCAACAGCTCTGGGTGGCCACTAACCGCCACCACCACTTTTCCTCCCACACTTCTGGGTGGCCACTAACCACCACCACTTCCTCTCCCACAGTTCTGGGTGGCCACTAACCACCACCACTTCTCCTCCCACAGTTCTGGATGGCCACTAACCACCACCACTTCTCCTCCCACAGTTCTGGGTGGCCACTAACCACCACCACTTCTCCTCCCACAGTTCTGGGTGGCCTACACGCCCTGTGACTCACAATACCAGAATGCGGTGCAGCTGACCTTGGAACAGATTGACTTGATCAAGCGGGTTATCAAGAAGTACAGCCAATACCTGGAGCTGGTCACCAACTCTCAAGGTAGGTCACCTTATTACACCTCTTGGGTTAAACATCATACGTGTTGTTTCAGTCATCTTTTATAGGTATATTATAACACCTGTTGGTTCAATTATCGTTAGTTTGTAGTAATTATTACACCTGGTACTTTGGTTGTTATATATAACTATACAGTACATTTATTACTCCCATTAACTCCTTTATCACACCACTTCAACCATTTATCACAGCTGGCAGGTCAATTATCACAGTACTCATCATTATTTTGCCTTGTTAAGTATTTATTTCAATTATTAGATTTGGATTGTTTCTTTTTTAGTTTTGTTAGTAGTTGTTAATTCTGATTTGTTTACATTATATTATCTTTATGTTTCTTGGCTGTTTGTTATAGTTTCACCATTATTGAATTAGAATCGTATTATATTGAATCAAGTTTGTTCGTTTATCTGCCTGACCGTCCGTCCGTCCATCTGTAGTCAACATGTTTACACACTTTACCTGCAACTCTATTGTCATTATTTCATCAGATGATTTATATGTTGATGTTCATATATTTGTTTGTAAAAAAAATAGTAAAATAATTTTTCTCAGTTGTAAATATGTTAAAATAATTATCTACATATATATTTGAACAATTATTAAACAAATACGCATCCATAATTTTTTTTTAATATTTTACACCGTGTTATTCTTTTATTTTTACGATCTAAATCTCCTCTTTTGTCCAGTCATAAACAAAATTCCAATCCGAGTGTATTGGATATAGGATTGAATCATATATCAATAGGATAAATATGACATTTCACGAGGTTTTCAAATCCATTCAAACTTTGGCTAACTTTTTTTTGTCAAGTGTGAAGTGATAATATACAATAATCTGTAGCATTTGAGGAGAAAGTTTCATAAGACATTTACCATGCTTTAAAGAACTCTCTCTCTCTCTCTCTCTCTCTCTACATCTATCTATCTATCTATCTATCTGTTTCTTTGAGTTCCTCTATGTTATTTTCGTGGTGCCCTCTCTCTGTGTATTTTCGTCTTTGTGTCTGTTTCTATCTTTCTTTCTATGTCCTACTGGTCATCTGACTTTTTGTTTCTCCCCTTTCTCCTTATTTCTCTCCTCTTCCACTGTTCATTTTTCTCTTTGTCTCTCTCCTAGTAATCCTATATCTCTTTATCTCTCTCCCTCTTTACTTCCTCCTCGTATCTCTCCCTCTTCCCCCCTCCTTCACCGCCAGCAGTAGGGGATCTCCCAAGGGTACCAGCAGGTAGCTCTTGGTTGTCTCACGAGTGTTGTAAGTCGTCACTCCACCATAACACGAACACTCTGGGGCCAGCCTATCTGTTTACTTCGTGTGTGTGTGTGTGTGTGTGTGTGTGTGTGTGTGTGTGTGTGTGTGTGTGTGTGTGTGTGTGTGTGTGTGTGTGTGTGTGTGTGTGTGTGTGTGTGAGGGGGATGGAGGGTGACATAGGTAGATAGGAATGGTTTAAGTGTAGAGAGAGAGAATTATACAATAGTAGTAAAGGTAATAGTGAAGGATGAGAGGTGGGCAGAACTGGCTCTCTTCCGTACCCCCGTCGCTACCATGGAAAACCAATAATTATGACGGACACTTTAAACCTCCGCGCCAGTGCTGACCCCACACACCCCCTCCCCTCCCTCCCTCATCACCTCTCACGTTCCTCAACACCCTCATTATAAGCGTCACCAACCTCGCCTCCCCTCCACTGGCGTTAGGCCCTTGCAACATGTTATAACACCAACAATGAACAGATTGAAAATTTTGACCCTCGAACTATTATGTAAAGCGAAATCTAGTTGCTCTTAAGGTGTAAATAAACGAGTAACAGTTAATAACATAGGAGTGTCGTGTTGTGACCCTCACTATGTTGATGTGTAGGTATAAACACTACCATCTCCATCAACTAAGTGTTTCTCTTTAAAGGTTATATGTGACGATGCTTCCTGTGACGTAATAGCTCAGTGCTCACCTATCTGTATCTTTGTTCCTTATGCGTCACCTGTTGTTGATGCTCACCTGTGTGCTCGTCTCTACAGTTATCCCACGTCTTATATACAAAGGCAGGAGGAACAGGCAGCGATTTGCTCAGTGAAGCTCTTAACCATGAGAGACCTGAGAATGAACCCCTGAGCCCAGCATTACCACACACAGCTTGAAATAGGACGGACACACACACACACACGCACACACAAGACGCGCTTGGACGGGACGGTGACCTGCCTCGTAGTAACACCATTTATGAAACCGTAAACTCTCCAGTCTTCCTACTCCCCCTCCACTTATCCACCCCAGATTACACTCCCCATCACCCCGGGCCATTGTCTCCTTCCTAGCAGAAGATGTTTCCCTTTTTATGTTCAACATAAAGGGAAAATTTTCTTTTAACGCCCTACACGTTGACGCAGGGGCCGGAGGTGTCTTGTGTGTGTGTGTGTGTGTGTGTGTGTGTGTGTGTGTGTGTGTGTGTGTACGTTACACATCTACATCAACTAAATCATGACTAAACAGAAAACTATTAATAATTCGGTGACCGTTACACACCGACAAGTTCATTTACCAATATGTCTGTACATTTATTTAATTGTATGTATGCCTATTATGTATGCATATGTGCATATGTTTATATACATATGCTGTTCATATACTCATTATTATTAAGTGCAATTCATTCCTTAGTGTTTGTCTCTTCATTTTCGATCATACTACACTCTCTTCACCATCCTACACTCTCCTCACACCATCCTCTCACCATCCTACACTCTCCTCACCATCCTACACTCTCCTCACCATCCTACACTCTCCTCACCATCCTACACTCTCCTCACCATCCTACACTCTCCTCACACCATCCTACACTCTCCTCACACCATCCCACACCTCCTCACACCATCCTCCCCACCATCCCACTCTCCCCACCATCCCACACCTCCCTCACCATCCTGTTGTACCCTCCCTCACCATCCTACACTCTCTCACCATCCCACACTCCTCACCACCATCCCCACACCTCCTCACCATCCCACACCTCCTCACACCATCCCCACACCCCCTCACACCATCCTCCCTCACCATCCTACACTCTCCTCACCATCCTACACTCTCCTCACACCATCCTACACTCTCCTCACACCATCCTCTCACCATCCTACACTCTCCTCACCATCCTACACTCTCCTCACACCATCCTACACTCTCCTCACACCATCCTACACTCTCCTCACACCATCCTCTCACCATCCTACACTCTCCTCACCATCCCCTCACCTCTCACTCCCATCTTCGAAAATATATCTCATCGTCCTCTCATTCCTCCTGCAGTTCAGTCAGTCATCATCACATTTCCCTCACCACCTCTCTCATTCTCCCTCTCTTTCTCTCTCTCATTCTCCCTCCACCCTACTCACTCATTTTTCCCCTCTGTCCCCTCGAGGCATCTTCTCTCTCTCCCTTTAGCGAATTCTTATCACTCCTTGCTTCCATTTCCTCACCAATTCTCCCTCCGTAACTTTCCATCCTCCAATCTGCTTCTGCCTCTTCTCCTTCCCCTCATTATCAGCTGTCTCTCCCCTCTCCCTTTGCCTTTTCCCTCGTTTATCTTACACTCACCATCGATATAGAATTCTATTATTTCCTCCTTAAGCTGCCAGCTGTACCCGTCCATTATTCTGATGAACAATGGTGAGTGAGAACAGAGACAGTGTTAGCAGGAGGTCGTGTCTCGGTGTGGTTAGGTTAGGTTAGGTGAAGGTTAGGTAAGGTTAGGTTATATGTTATGCAGAAATTGGTATATATGATGAGAGAGAGAGAGAGAGAGAGAGAGAGAGAGAGAGAGAGAGAGAGAGAGAGAGAGAGAGAGAGAGAGAGAGAGAGAGAGAGAGAGAGAGAGAGAGAGAGAGAGAGAGAGAGAGAGGTCACCGTTCTCTTAAGGGTTACCACATCCTCGTGACCTGTAACTTTCTCTCTCTTTCTCTCTCTTCTTCCCTCTGTTTCTCAATCTTTTTCCCTCTCTTCGTATGTCTTTGTTCCTCTCTGTCTGTCTGTTTATGTTTCTTTATTCCCTCAAGCCCCCCCCCCCTCTCTCTCTCTCTTGGTGTATCTGTTGCCTTCCTCTCTCTACTGTTGACCTCTCTTCTATCATTGACCTGTCCTGTATCATTGACCTTTGGACTCTCACTCCCCATTCCCCCTCTGGCTCGCCGTGTCACCCTCACCTTTGACCTATGACGTCACGATCTATTCTAAGTTCCAACATGTGATAAGACCTTGAAACAGACACACAAACATGCAAACTACCAGACAGCTCAAACGACAAATATGTTAGACTGTCGATAATGAGCTTAATCACATACACGCACATATACACAGACATAAACACAAGCATACAGCCACAAACAGACATACATATAGATACACACAGCCCCTTACATACATGCATATATTTACCCACAAACACACACATACACTGCCCCTAAAACACACACACACACAAATACATAAACTACCCCACACACACAATACATATACACATAACACACATTCACACACACACATATATATATATTTACAGATAAACACATACACAGCTCCCACCAACACACAATAAATATGCTTGTTTTTTAGGACATTTTACCAAACATGTCGCTTGGATTATGTACGTATTTGGTTTCACGCTGATGTGTGACTGGTATATAAACAGCTGACGAGTAGTAAACAGACACCTCACTGATAGCAAAGAGACAGCTGATCGATAGTAAATATTTATGTGTATTAAATAGTTGGTCCATTTGGAACACGTCATGATCAGGGGTATATATTTTTTTCACTTCAATTTCCTTCCAACACTACATAAAAGATGACGTGGATGGTCAGGTCATATACTGTACCCTAAAGGTCAACAGAAGCACCATCCCAGCTGTTCTGTGACCTCGTCCTACTAAGATCAACGATGATGCTGTTGAAACATTATCCTGTGCTCTTCACGATAACTAGTTCAGTGTTTCTTATGATATTGTCACGTCATCGTCTGTGCCTTGGAAAAATAGTGTAGATTGACTTTTGCTTCATGAGGTAATTTAACATTGTCTAGGGTGGTTATGTAGCTATTTAATGAAGGCCATGTTGAAATCTATTGTTTTTGTATGCCTTTTTTTTTCAGTAAACTTCATCCACGTTTTCCTTTACCACCACAACTAACATGCTGGAAAAACAACAAACACAACACCCGCCATGAACAACACAACAAACACAACACCCGCCACGAACAACACAATTTCCGCCACAAACAACTACAAGCACAAGCACCCAGCCACTAGCCTTCCCAGAACCGACCCCTAGTGAGTCATTATCAGCCTCGTGTCCCCGGGGTTAAAGGTAGTAGTTCCCTGGTGTACAGAGACCTGGCATATGACAACAGAGAACCGGTGGCTCACTTGACGAAATTAGTACCTACATTCTTCATTGCAGGTCTCCCTCCCTCCCCCCCATCCCCTCTCCCCTGGGCATCTTATTTCGACTAAACGTGGGGTATTATTGACATTTCCCCCGCCTGTTCATTTCGATGGAGATTCACGCCAAAACATCAACCTCACAACATTCAGGGTTTGTTATTGCAAAACCATACTGCTACACCTCCACCCCACTCCTGTGTACGTCACGATGTCAGAACTACTAGTCAGAGGTGTTAATTCCACGACAGCACACACACACACACACACACACCCACACACACACAGTGGAAGAGAAAGTGAAAATGAAAGGGGGAATAGAAAAATATAAAAGTCATAAAAGGAAGTGTCAATAACAAAGGAAAGGAAAAAAAGATACAGACCAGTCGTGAGGAAAATACATATATATGTTCTCGGCAGCAGGGAAACACGAACACTATATGTGACTCTTTTTCCTCAACTGAGACAAAGAGGAAAGGAACAGAAATTACAGAGAGTGATTTTGTAATGTGGAGCAATTAAGGAATTATTTCTAGTCATGGTGGAGAGAGAGAGAGAGAGAGAGAGAGAGAGAGAGAGAGAGAGAGAGAGAGAGAGAGAGAGAGAGAGAGAGAGAGAGAGAGAGAGAGAGAGATCGAATCATCCTTACCGTGAAAACCAACAACAAAATCTGGAAAACTTAAAAAAATATGAAAACAAAAATAAAAAATAACCCACCTAACAATGAGACTAAGAGGAAAACAAGGAAACAACAGTCAGGAAAACAGTGACACAATACCGAAATTCAGGGAAAAACTGTCCTCAGCATCCGGGCGACGTGAGGACTACACCCAGACGCGTCGGGAACCATTGTTTTCCGTGTAATTTCCTCCCGTTTCTAAATACCAAATTCTTACGTAATTACCCCCATCAGGATGGAAGGAAGGAAGGAGGGAGGGAGTTTGAGGAAGAGTAAGGAGAGAGGGAGGAGTTTGAGGAATTAGGGAGAGATAATGAGACAAGGGTGAGGAAAGGAGGAGGGAGGGAGTTTGAGGAAGTAGGGAGAGAGGGAGGAGTTTGAGGAAGTAGGGAGAGATGGTTAGAGGTAAGTGATGAGGCAAGGGGAGAGGAGAATGGGGGCAGGGAAGGGAGCTGTAGAGAAAGAACGGGGTGGGAAGGAGGGAGGAAGAAGGGAGAGAGGGAGGGATGGCAGAGTTGGTAGAGAGGGACAGAGAGGGAAGGGGATTATGGAGGGGAAGAACGGAGAATGGGTGGATTAGAGAGGAAAGGAAAAATATCGTATATTGTGATATTTATATTTCTGTATCTGTCAACAATCGCCTGTCTGTCTGTACGTTTTCTTAACCAATTGGTGAATCACTGGAGTCGTTTCATTGTCTGCAGTTAAAAGTGTGTATTTCTATATATATATATATATATATATATATATATATATATATATATATATATATATATATATATATATCCTGTACAGTGAGAAAGGTGTACCCAGTTCACCTGACGACGATGATCAGAGACAAGAAACTTCTTCGCTGTAAAACTCAATATTCCCGACATCAGCGAATATTTGCCAGAGTCGTGTCTCCATCTCGCCTGAAGAAACTGACGCGATGAAAACACATGAAACTACGAATAGGTGGAAAAAGGAGAGAGAGAGAGAGAGAGAGAGAGAGAGAGAGAGAGAGAGAGAGAGAGAGAGAGAGATGATGATGATCTCAGGTACAGTATATGAGCAGAAAGTTGAAGGTTCATCCATCAGTTGTAATATTGCCAAATGTCGTCCTTCGGAATGAATGTCCAGGACTGACGTTTTGACACAATGGCCACGATGATATTGCTTCTGCAACATGTGCAACCTAAAGGCACATTCATATATTGTGTGTCCCCCATCAGTGTAAAATTTTACAAAACTTGAAGCAGATGATGGTTTAATTATTTTCTCTACGGACTTATTAAATATTGCATTTATTTAAGGGAGATAAAGATAGCTTGAAATTAATCAGCTTAAGAGGTTAAAATAGTAACGAAGAACGAATAGAAACAATTTATTTACTGATGTTGACAGCGAGAACACGGCATTACAACATTAGTGAAAGACAACACGCCACACTATATTAGTCCCCACAACCTAACTCACATAATTACAACCTAAGTAACGTAACTATAATCTAACTAATGTAGCAATGATGTAACTAACGCAACAGTAACCTAACTTACCCATAACTCAACTAACGTAATCATAATTTAACTTGTGCAACATTAACCTAACTAACGTAATATTAACCTCACTAACGTAACCATGACCAAACTAACGTAACATTAACCTAACTAACGCAAAAAATAACGTAACTTACGTAACATTAACCTAATTAACGTAACAATGGCCTAACTAACTTAACCATGGCTAAGTAACGTAACCATGACCTAACTAAAGTAACATGAACCTCACTCACTTCGGTAAACATAACCTAACCAAAGCTATAACCAAAGACCATTAATTTAGGTTAAGTCAACTTTGGTTATCATCGTACGTAATTTAGCCCCCCCCCATCACTCGTCTTCCTCCTCCCCCTGCCTCCCTCCCTCGTCCCCGTCTCCCTCCCTCACCTCCCTGCCTCACCTCACGGACCTGCCATACGTCAACCCCAAACTCGGTGTTGCCTCTGCTGTATACTGAACGTGACTAAATTAATTCAAGTCATCACCTTTTTGCTCCAACCAGGAATGATGATGATGATAATGATACTACTACTACTAATACTACTACTACTACCACTACTACTACTACTAATAATAATAATAATAACAAACTGCTTTATAATCTCGTAATGAAATATTGGCTGAGGAAGTTATAAAATATTCAAGTGAAAAATAAAGTAGAATTTCACCTCTTTGTATATATTAATAAGTTCCGTGCATACTGTAAGCTGAACTGTACAGTACATATGGTAGCCTCTTTTGTTTATGTTGTGATCTGTGCCCCTTAATACTGTATCTGTAACCTGTACCATACAAATTGTAACTTGTTCTATCCATACCTAAAACCTGCACTATCCATACCTATCCCTCACAGGCTGTAACTTTGCACCTGGCTAACGCGGCGGTGTTTCTTCTTACAGACATCAATACGGTGTTCGCGAAGGGCAAGATCGCCAGTCTCATCGCTATCGAGGGCGGCCACGGCATCAGCAACAGCTTCGGCTCCTTGAGAATGATGTACGAGTTGGGGGTCCGCTACCTGACCTTAACACACGCCTGCAACACACCCTGGTGAGTCTGTGTGTGTTTTTGGGAAGGTCTCTGTATGTCTGTACAACCCTCAACCATATTTTTAACATACCTTGGTGAGTCGGTGTAAGCCTGTACGAGTTTGTTCAGGTTCTGGCATGGCGTTGGGTAACACACAGGAGTTGTGTATTCACAAGGCAGATAAATATTAATTCTTATTTCTGAAGGTATACCATTATGGTTATTGACAAAAGCTTACAAATATATTGTATATGTCAAAGTTTGAACTATTACTGGTGACTAGCAATAGTGAAATCATCAACAATTTTTGGAGATATTGACATATCTCTGGGTGTTCTGTCGACCATAGGCAAAATATTACTGGTCCCAATCATGTGCCTTCCAGCACTCTGCGTATAATGGTGTTCCAGCCAGTTAAAATCTTCTATGGCGACGACCTGGAAGGAAGTTCTGGATGAAAGTTAACAGTAATGAGTGACACCTCAGCCTGTACAGGTAGTGGAGGGCAACATGTGGCCACCTGCATGAAGACAACTGTTAACTAATAACAACGTGGACACTGAACACATACAAATCTTGCACGTACTAACATAGATCAGCACGACGACCTGCCTGGAGTTCCCTGTACAAAGAACTTTTCCTGATACCATATTTCCACTTCAATTTTCCCATCCCCTGGCAGTCAATATTTCATGGAAAAAAAAATCATGAGTGGCAGCACTGGTATACAGAAGTACACATGTTTACTAAAGCAAGAGTGGATGAATGACAACGCATGGGGGGAGAAACTGTGCTTTTATTATTCATTACGTGACTGATAAAGAACTGGACAGTTAAAAGACGAGAAATACATCAAGAAAGCAAAACGAAAAATGTTTTACCAAAAATCAGCTAACTTTTGGTACTGCAACATTTTAAAAGTAATATAATACAAAGCACGAGAGAGTACACGGGAGAATCCAATGTTATTCCATGAGTCCACTGAGGCTCGCAGACAGGCAGGCTCACAGACAGACAGACAGGCAGGGAGGGAGGCAGGCAGGCAGGCAGGGAGGGAGGGAGGCAGGCAGGCAGGCAGGCAGGCAGGCAGGCAGGCAGGCAGGCAGGCAGGCAGGCAGGCAGGCAGGCAGGCAGGCAGGTAAGGTAGCAGAAAGTGTTTACACGCGCGAGGCCGCCACTTTACCTGAACAAACCACTTACCTACCCAGTTCTCTCCCCGGCCAATATCGCTCTTGTTTTATTTTCATTTGTGGTGTATTATGGAGGATGGTGTTTCAGCGTTGGTCTGGGGGGCAGAATTTACGCTTGGGTGTTTTATCATACCTGCAGGATATATATTTTTTAGGGTGCGGGGTGAAGTAGTATAGGTCAAACAACTGCCTCATCCTCGGTACAAAGAGTTTTATCTCGATACTGGAGCGATGGGTGGCAGATATCGTTCTTTAGGTGTGAGTTCACGGGTTAGCTAAGAGTATTTTTTTCCCATCGTCTCTGGCGGTAGTGTGGTGAAAATTTCAACTGAGGTGAGACGCGGTATCTGCACTAGCAATTATTATCATTATTTTTTTCGAATTTAATTTTTTGGTTGACACTAGTTTACTTCCCCGTCTGGTTGATCTTCTGTTTGGTTGACCACTGCTTGCTTGAGTGATGCTTGACCCTCTGCTTGGTTGACCACTGCTTGCATGACCATTGCTTGCTTGACCCTCTGCTTGCTTGACCACTACCTGCTTGACCACTGCTTGCTTGACCACTGCTTAGTTGACCTCTGCTTGATTGAGTGATGCTTGACCCTCTGCTTGGTTGACCACTGCTTGCTTGCCCACTGCTTAGTTGACCACTGCTTGCTTGAGTGTGCTTGACCAGTGCTTGTAGACCACAGCTTAGTTGATCACTGCTTGCTTGACCACTGCTTGCTTAACCATTGCTTGCTTGACCACTGCTTAGTTGACCACTGCTTGCTTGAGTGATGCTTGACTAGTGCTTGCTTGACCACTGCTTACTTGACTACTGCTTGCTTAAGCCTCTGCTTGCTTGGTCTTTAATTGGTTGACCTCTGCTTGCTTAACTCTCTGCTTGCTTGACCCTTTGCTTGCTGGCCCTCTGTTTGGTTGACCTTTCCTTGGTTGACTTCTGCTTGCTTGACCACTACCTGCTTGACCGCTGCTTACTTGACCATTGTTTTTTTTTTTTTTTTACGGGGATTAGCCCACCCGGGCACAGGTAATTGACCTACATCAGGGCCTGAAGGGAGAAAATGCAATAATAATAATAATAATAATAATAATAATAATAATAATAATAATAATAATAATAATAATAATAATAATAATAAAGAACAAAAAATAAATGAAAAAATTAAAAACAAGATCAATAGTGAGAAACAATATATGTGTGTTGTGTTGTCCAAGTACGATAAACAATTGAGACCCTGCAATTGTGTGTAAATGAGGCAGAAAGTCAGAACATCAACCTGGGACTTGGTCACAATTTTCGTGATGCCATATGGCAGCAGGGTCTACCATTAGACAATAGATTATGCTTCCAATATGTTTCCAGGCGGTAGTACCTTCCTGTTTGAGCCTCTGATTGTTTGACACTTACTTGGTTGAAGTTATAGTCAAAATTTACGTCACAATGTTCGTACAACTGATCCAATTTAGAGTTTGAGAAGATAAGCGATTTTTTTTTATTTAATATAGATCAATGTTAAAATATGAGTTTGATACAGATTTTTTCCCTAGTAAAGAAAAGGCAAAAAAACAACTTCTTTCCACTAAGGTCGGGAAAGCAGTCAAGTGTCAAGACTAATTTAATATCGAACACAAATTCTATAATAAAAGTTATGTTATACCAGAACTAATACTATTAACATAATATATCTACATTTATATAATATACATAATCTATGAATAATTCTATAACGAGGCAAAATATAGGAAAATTTCTTACTGAATATTTAAATGATTATCCCGGAGCGTCACGTTACCATAGAGATAATTACATTATTTTTCATGCCATTAAAAGTATCTTGGTTATATATTTTCATCCTCCTTTCATGTTTTTTTTCTTGTAAATTTATTTATCTTTTGTTTTTCTTGTTTAAAATTTGCCGTGTTTTTTTTTGCTGTAAATTATAATCCGTATTTATTCTGTTAATTTTTTTTCTTGTTTTTTTTTAATTCTCTTTCTTTTTCCTTCCTTCTCGTTGTTTGTTTCATTCTTGTTGTGTTTCCTTCAGTCTGTTTTTGTCCTTCACTCAATGCATTTCCTTCACTCTCGTTGTTTCATTCATTCTGTCTATGTTGTCTTTACTTTGGGATTAACTTCTTTCTTTTTCTTGTGACTGCAGTTTCAATTCAATGTCTTCATTTATTTCACTTCATTCTCTACTGTCATTCATATTAACCTCATTCATCTTGTGTTGCTTCTCATCTGATTATATTTTCTTCATTGTTTTCATGGTGTTGACTTCCTTCTTTTCGTGTTATCTTCATTCTTCCTACACTGCCATCATTTCCTTCACCTCTCTCCCTTGGTCGTCATTCACGGAGGGCCTCGTTAGCAATAATGAGATGACGATCACGATACTTATTGATGGAGCCAAAGAACTTTGCCTACGTAGCCGGACATCCATTTAAGCTCGTTAGAGAGAGAGAGAGAAAGAGAGAGAGGGAGAGAGAGAGAGAGAGAGAGAGAGAGAGAGAGAGAGGTAAATAAATAAATAAAAAGTAAATTAAGACAAAAAAAAGATAGACAGAGAGAAATGAAAGAACGAAAGAAAGAAAGAAAGAAAGGTTTAAGAATACACACATACGTATAAAACAAACACAGACAGATAGAAAGAAAGGAAGATGATAAAGACAAGCAACGACACAGGTAAAGCAGGAGAACTAATTATACCTCGCCTCTTCCCCCAGGGCCACCTCGTCTGTGATAGAGAGATCGTCGGGAGATGGGACGAAGAACGAGAATTATGGCCTCACGGAGTTTGGCAAGGTAAGTCTGTCTGTGTGTGTATATATATATATATATATATATATATATATATATATATATATATATATATATATATATATATATATATATATATATATATATATATATATAATCTGTATATATCTTTTATTTATACCTAATGTACGTACGTATGTATCTCTCTCTCTCTCTCTCTCTCTCTGTCTCTCTCTCTCTCTCTCTCTCCGTATCACTTTTCATTTCCAAACAACTTTCTTCTCTGCACGTTTCTACACTAGACAACAAGCCTTGAACAATGGCAGAAATATTAAAGCGGTTAGTGGTGACGAGGAGGGAAGCCAGACGTGTGTTGTGTTGCTAAAAAGGCCGTCATGAAAGTCTACATACATTACAGCGAACATTCCTCTACTTCTTACCTTTGTAATAATAATAATAATAATAATAATAATAATAATAATAATAATAATGGTAAATAATAATAATAATAATAATAATAATAATAATAATAATAATAATAATAATAATAATAAATCAGTGTGTACAAGATAGTGAAATGTGGGTTGCATTACCCGTAGAATTTATTAGACCAGCCCACATCGTCCTGTTAGGCGCCGAGCTGCCACCCTCTCTCTCTCTCTCTCTCTCTCTCTCTCTCTCTCTCTCTCTCTCTCTCTCTCTCTCTCTCTCTCTCTCTCTCTCTCTCTCTCTCTCTCTCTCTCTCTCTCTCTCTCTCTCTCTCCAGTGGGGCAGGAACATCAACATCACTCGCAACACAACACAACACAACAATCTTCGTCACCAACACCAGGAATACTTCTGCCACTGTTTAAGATTTGTTGCCGAGTGACCGATAACATCTTGTGAAGAGATGAAAGTTCTTTTGGAAATGTGGAGAAATTGGAGGAGTTTTGGAAATGTGGAGAAATTGGAGGAGTTTTGGAAATGTGGAGAAATTGGAGGAGTTTTGGAAATGTGGAGAAATTGGAGGTGTTTTGGAAATGTGGAGAAATTGGAGGTGTTTTGGAAATGTGGAGAGATAGAGAGGTTTATTTCATCGTTACACAAAGATAATTTCTTAGGGAGGATCTTTTTATCACACCGAACCTCAGGGACTGCTTATAAATATCAGTACCTCTCGTCCTGTCATCAATTAAGCTGTGACTTAAACTCGTTAAAGGTCAACACAATTCTGTTAAAAGTAGTTGTCAAGCTCGGCGAACCTGACACGATTAATCTTAGAGTTCTGAGGTGGGATGACTTTACACTTGTTATTGACTGTGTTATATATATATGCTCTCACGTCAACTACCTAACATATGAACTTAAGACATTAGTTGTTGGAATGTAATAGTGGGTGGTGCAGGGAGTGGGTGGTACAGGGAGTGGGTGGTGCAGGGAGTGGGTGGTACAGGGAGTGGGTGGTGCAGGGAGTGGATGGTGCAGTGTGGGTGGTGCAGGGGAGTGGGTGGTGCAGGAGTGGGTGGTACAGGGTGGGTGGTGCAGGGAGTGGATGGTGCAGGGGAGTGGGTGGTGCAGGGGTGGGTGGTGCAGGGGAGTGGGTGGTACAGGGGGGTGGGTGGTGCAGGGTGGGTGGTGCAGGGAGTGGGTGGTACAGGGAGTGGGTGGTACAGGGAGTGGGTGGTGCAGGGAGTGGGTGGTGCAGGGAGTGGGTGGTACAGGGAGTGGGTGGTGCAGGGAGTGGATGGTACAGGGAGTGAGCGGAGGGAGCAGTCAACACCACGCCATCAACATAAGTTTAGTGGGTAATACACAAGTTGGGGAAACAAGAGGCCCTACTTAACAAACTAAAGGTGGAGTTTGACTCATCAACGTAAACACTACACAAGTATGGTGAGAGGATTCTACTTTGACAAATGTTTAATTGAGAGAATTTGATCATCTCTGGCAGTGTTGAACCCACTTTCTTTAGCCCCTTTTTGTTTATACTAAAGATTTAAGAGAAACACCAAATAAATGAACATGCTTCTGTCTATAAGTTTAACCATCGTCTCTGTCAAATGGTTTCCTTGCATCTAGTTAACATAAACAAGTTGGGGAACTTCTCTTATTATAATAATCTATCACTGCCACTAAGACAAGGGTTTGTGTCTCTTTACTGTGGGTTTTTTTTCAGACTGAACTAATTATCTGTTGTAGGGGTGAAATATCTCTATGTAGCTATTGTAGCTAGTTGGTACAGAGTCGTGATGGTAGATGGAGACATATAACTTTCACACTGAGAAGGTCATTAATCTAACTCTCGAGCAACGGGATAATGAAGACATTTAAAAGCTCAGTAAATACTAAATTGGTGTTTATTGCGCACGTTCACCAATATACCTCCAGATAATGGTGACACTAGCTGATGTATGTGTGTAATGTTGTGCAGGCAATTCGTTATATCCTGCTGCTACATTGCTGGTGAGGCTTCCCTGTATATTCGTAATTTCTGAGTGTGACACACATCTAAGGTCATTAAGGTTCAAGCCCTGAGATTATCCTAGAGATGGCTCAGGATGGCTGGGTCATTAATACAGCTTAGGGTCTCACAGAAGTGTTGCTCCAAATGACAACAATTTCCTCCCTTGCCCACTGTGCTATTATGGTGTATGGAGGAGGGTATATGTAAGTTAATAATAATAATAATAATAATAATAATAATAATAATAATAATAATAATAATAATAATAATAATAATAATAATAATAATAATAATAATAATAATAATAATAATAATAATCATCGAATTTAAGTTTTTGTCAGAATCTTCTTCTTTACGAGAATCGGGCAAAAATAAATGATTTTCTTTATCAAATTCGCCTCAAAATCTAAACACTACTTTCAGAATCGCCAACAACAGAAACACTATTATATCCTTCGCAAGAATCATGAAAACTTTAAAATTATTATTTTCTTCTTACGAGAATCGCCCAAAATTGAGGGATTTCCGTCCGATACTACCAGGAAGTGATCGTTTAGGGCGAAAACTGCTCATTTTCGTTCGCAATCTGCAGGAGAGCGTTCTGTCAATGGGGCACTTAGCTAAAGCTGCTGTGTTGTGGATTGCGTCTTGTACCAGGAGCAGTTCAAGTCGAGGCGAGTAGTAGAGGATGCAGATGTGTTGGTTTTTTAACGGGCAGGAGAACTGCTGGCAGGGGTGTGTGTGAGAGAGAGAATGTGATACACAGGAAAGTCTGATAATTATCATACTTATCTTGTGTATTACCTTGATATATATATATATACCAGAGACTAAATTACAAGTACATATAACGTTAGTGATTTTTATAATGTATACCATATACATATTTTCATATGTATATTCTTTTCCTTCTCTTATATTCTCTCTCTTTTTTTCTCTCTTCCTCTTAATAGCTTTTATAAAACGGACATTTATTCATTTGATTAATATCTTACAAATGTACATCAAAATACAATAAACTGTTAACGGATGATATTATTACTACTGTTTGCCTCACGTAAACAAAGACTACTGGTAAATTGGCCGGTCACCACAACTCACACTGTTTCTCTCATTCAGGGAAACTTTCGGAGATAACTGGGTCATTCTGTTAAGTTTATCCTCCGTAACTTGGAACACACACACACACACACACACACACACACACACACACACACACACACACACACACACACACACACTAAGAAAAGTATAGAGAATGAGATGAGTCGTGGTATAGTAATCATGTCAGCATACTTCAGGATACAACAGTATTATCTCGTCTACTTGAAGGAGGTATAAGTATGTGTATTATTTCCTGTATATATCTCGTCTATGAGTTATGGTTTATGTCTCAACATGTCTTACTGAGTTATTAAGCTACAGTCACTGGGTTAATATATCAACGGTGAATGGCGGTAATTTGGCAGTTCTGTATCTCTGATAAACACCATTTGAAGGTAATGGGAGGGTAATTGTTTGTTTGTGCTAAGTAGTTAGTATAATCAACAAAATAACAAGGTCATTTACACATCTGCATCTTGAACAAGTGAATCAAATTGGAGAACAAGTAGACAGTCGTATCCTTAGTAATTATACCAAATTAGAGGGTAAGTAGACAATTATATCCTGAAGAACAACCATATTTCAGAGTAATTAAGCAATTACAGGCGCAATTATGCCATTATACACTTAATAACTCAAAAATATGTGAGCTTCATCAGAGAGAGAGAGAGAGAGCTAGAGCGAGAGCGAGAGAGAGAGAGAGCTAGAGCTAGAGCGAGAGCGAGAGAGAGAGAGATTATAGTTTGGTCTAGTACAAGTGTTTTCTTCACCACTATCTTAAAAAATACAACTTTTATTTCCCATGAATACCTAACTCCGAATCATCTCTTAATTATTATTATTATTATTATTATTATTATTATTATTATTATTATTATTATTATTGTTATTATTATTATTATTGTTATTATTATTATTATTATCATCAAGCTTCTAATCCGGTGTAATGATAATTACTTTCACTTACACCAACATTTTGCTTACTGCTCCCTGAGGACCAGTATCGTTGGTCTTAAGCAACCTCATTAACCTCAAGACCATCCTGGGTATTACAATGGTAGTCCTGACGGTCCTCTTACATACCGGAAACTAAGCCGTGTTTTAGCCATTATGAGAAGAACGAAAGTGAGGTATCGTCGAGCCACTACAAGAGACAGGAAACTGCACCAGCTTTCAGACAGACATAACCAAAATAAATAAATCTTTGACACTGATTCTGAAAATATGATCTTGACTCCCAAATGGAAAAGGATTCTTACGATAACATTCTTCTCGGTAATGGTCAGCCAGATGGGGGAGTTAGAGCCGACGCATCTCCCTGGTGGAATGTGGTGGCCATCTAGAGCTCGCTATCTCTGTGTCGTGCCTTAAGTGGGTCAGGCAGTTAGATGCGTTTACACATCACTAGGCACGAGAGGAATTTAACCTGAATATCTTTCACAACTGGGTAGCGGTATTGACCTTACAAGAGGCTGGGTTTAAGTCGCTTGAGTCC